TAAAGCGAGTTATGTACATGTACATACACACATACATATAGTAGTAAAAGAATAATCAATAAAAGAAAAATTCTTGGGAGAAAGAAAGCTATAAAGAAAAAAAAAATAGAGAGAGAGAGTACGTGGCGCCCGCGTGGCGTCACTCGGTTTACTTAACCCTCGTATTCAACCCCATCAAGTTGACTTGGCTATAAAAACCAAAAATAATACTTTTTTCTGATGTTTCTGGAAAAAAAAAAAATGTTTCAATTTTTGAAAACTTTTTTTAAAATTTTTTCCTATCGTTTTAAAAAAAAAAAAAATTAAGTTGAATTGCAATTTAAATATTAAATTTTACAAAAAAAGTGGGTTTCAATTAATTTTTTTTTTTTTTTGCTGAAAAAAAAGGTTACTAAAAATTTAAAAATTTCATTGCTAATTTAAAAGGTATCGAAATCACGATTACTTGGATTGTTAAAATAAAAATTTTTTTTTTTTTTTTATTATTATTTTTGATTTAATATTAATTAATTTCAAACAGTAAAGTTAAATTTTTTAAAATTGTAATAGTTGGTTGAAAGTTTTTTTTTTAAAAAAAAAAAAAAAAAAAAAAAATTTATAATAAGGGGGGTTAAGTTAAATTAATCATACAATTTTTTGGGGGAAATTTTGTTTGCAATCGGTGACAAAAAAAAAAAAAAAAAAAAAAAAAAACAATAAATGTTTGTATTATTGAGTGTGTTCAATGGTGGGTGCATTGAAAGAAAAAAAAAAAAATTGGTTTAGTATAACGTGAGAAGTGCGCAAGACGGCTCACAAAGCTGACATCCTCTCTTCAGCAGTAATCGACCTTCGAAGGGCCAGTTTTCTAATCGATCCTTACGAGGGTAGTATCGAGTATTTACTTTGGCGGTCGTCACTTCGAAATAAATAAACGATTTGTTGTAGTGAAATAATAATACTAGTTTTAGTTTTTTTTTTTATACTTTTAAAAATTAAAATCGGAATTGTGATTTAATTCCGGTATGATAAATGCTTCAATTCTTTTTATTATTATTATTATTATTATTATTATTATTATTATTATTATTATTATTATTATTATTATTAAACAAACATGGTGTAATGTCTTAAAATCCAATAATTTTTACAGATTAATTATTATTATTATTATTATTATTATTGGAAAGCAGTTTTTTTAAGCACAGATAATAATTGAATTTAATATTTTTCTTTTGTATTTTTTTTAGGCATGAAACGTGAAATTGATGGTCCTCAAGGGGGCGGACCCCAAAAAAGATACAAAAATAGTGATGGAAATGAAATTCGGCTGCTTATTCCTAGTAAGGTATGTTAAGTATAGCTTTTTTTTTTAATACGTAAAATTCCTGTACCTGTAGTAAAAGATTAGTGAATCATTATCAATGCCATTACTATATACTTTTTTGTAGTTACGAGTACTTTTCCTAACTTTTTGTATTAAATTAATATTTTTATGTTTATTTAAATTTAAATAATGAGTTAAAGATTATTTTTTCTTAAAAATATTTACTGAAATTTCATTTTTACAATTTTTTTTTTTTTTTTTTTTTTTGTATTTTAGAGATTTTATTTTAATTTTATGATTTATGAATTTCAGGTTGCCGGTTCAATTATTGGAAAAGGGGGTCACAACATTTCCAAACTAAGAACTGAGGTGAGATTATTGTTTTAGAATAAGTAAATTTTAGACAAAAAAAAAAAAAAAAAAAAAAATTATTTAACTTTATTTTATTATCGATAATAGCATTATTATATGAGTTATTATTTATAGAAATTTTTTATATTTTGTAAAGATAGCAGCATTTTGAGCTATAATACTTGATAGAATTGAATTTTTTTTTTTTTTTTTACAATAACTTTTTATGTAGCCTGATGCATATACATCTCAGGTTTATATACATATTTTTTTTTTTAATAAGCTAAATGTAAAAAATAATTATTCGATCCAAGTATTTATCAACAAATACGCGGGTACATTTAAACCGTTAAAAAATCTATTTGAAAAATATTTTTCTATATAAAAAAAAAAAAAAAAAAAAAAAAAAAGATTGTATATATACATTTGTATGTTAAAGGGTTAATTTATGCAATTTGAATGTACATGTATGTATGTATGTATGTATATATACACATTGTGAAGGAAGGAAATATGTTTTGTTTAGTTTACAGCATTGCATTGAACCGAGAAAAGTATATTTTTAATAAAATGTTTTTTGTTTTTCTCTCTCCATCATCATATAAAATGTTCCTGCCCTCCAATGACCGATTGCTTCGACGTTTGGTCCCCGATTGGCCCAATATGATTCGGTCTTGATTGCTGCCCACCACACTGAATGACCCGGAAACATGGCTTGGCCCTCATTCTACACTCACTGGCATCATCGATTTGGCCCGGCCAATTGACAATTTTATAAATGCAGCACAATGCTTCCGTCACAGTCCCCGATTGTCCCGGCCCGGAACGGTAAATCCTTATTATATTTACTTCTCTTTAATAATTATAATGATAATAATAATAATAATGATAATGATAATGATAATGATAATAATAATTAGGAGATAGGCCTTTTTTTGTAAATTCATAGTAAGGAAAATTTTTCACTGCGTGAAGACAATGGACTTGATTTGATGGACCACCACTTTTAACTTGAAAGGGGAAAAAAAAAAAAAAAAAAAAAAAATGTATACACTAGTTAATTAAAGTCTATGTGTCTTCATTGTATAAATATTATTAATTTAGAAAAAGTATTTATTTTTGTATATGTATATCAAAATTGTTCCCTCAGTGTTCAAATTGACGAATTTACTCATTTCCCAACGTACACGAGTTCTCTTTGATCACTGAGGCTTAACACTCCGTTTTTCTTTTTTTAATGAATAATTCATATTTGTACTATTTTTATATATTTAGAATAAGAAGCTGTGTTTCAAAATCTAAATTTTTTGCTATTGTGTTATTCTTACGTCTAAAAATTATTTATTTATTTATTTTTTTTTTTTTTAATGTTGCGTCCATGAATAATAACGATATTTTTTTTTTTTTTTTTTTACAAGTTCTTTTGACAGAATTTAATGAATTGATGGTGTGCATCATTTTTTAAAATTGAGTAAATTTTTTTTATTTTACTTAATTTTAACTTTTTTATTTATTTTATTTTATTTATTTAATTTTATTTTGTTTGTTATTTGGATCTACGACCCGTTTTCACCTCTCTCGTTTCCAAAAAAAATTTTATTTTTTTTTCCAATTATATGTACACAATTTCCTTTTCTTCACGGACCCGAATTTTTTTTTATATTTATTTATTTTTTTTTTTTTTTTTTTATTGAACGAATTGGGTAAAGAAAATTTTTGTCGAATAAATAATTTTCTTTATGAAAAAATAAAAATTCAATTTAGTGTAAGCATTAAAATAAAATCGAAATTAATATACTCGATAAGATTTATATAAAAAAAAAAAAAACTTGATGCAATTAGTTTTGTTGTTGTTGTTGTTGTTGTTGTTGTAAAATTAAGATTGAACGAATTTTATTCATAAAATGAATTTTTTTTAAACATGCAAAAAGATGATTTTAATTTTTGTAATGTTCGTGTTACGGGTATTGAAAAAAAAAAAAAATTTTTTTTTTTTTTTTTATTATTTTGCTTTGCATTAAAAAATTTACAGCAATTTACTTTTTTTTTTTTTTTTTTTTTATAACTCGATGTAATTTTTGCGCCATTTTTTAAACATTTATTTATTGAATTACAATTAAATTAACTTGCTTATTATTTTTATTTTGATGGTACATCGGTCGGTTAAATGATTAAACATTGTGTAAACTAGTGCTTTTAATATACCTTAATAACTTGATCAAACTTAACGTGATGTGGGTAGTAGTTACGTGCCGAATTAATTAGTTTTATTTTTTTTTAATAATTTATTTAAAATGAATTTAACATGTAAATGTTGTAATGGGTCCACGAGCTTTTATTTCCTTAAAAAAAAATTTGGCCGCCATAAAAAAAAAAAAAAAAAAAAAAAAAAAAAAAAAAAACCCCCCTTATTTACTAACCCCTTCTTAAATATTCCTCCTAATTTTATTTCTAATGTTTTTTAATGTAATTTATAATTATAAAAAAAAAAAAGATTTTAAAAGAAATTGTGTTCGCCATAATTCTCACAAGACTTCGTTCGAACTTGCAAAAAAATTTCAATACAACTTTTTATAATAAAAATTGTGTTTTTAAAGGTTTTTTTTTTTTTTTTTAAATTACTTTTCTATATTGAAATAATAATAATAATAATGTACTGTTATCACAACGTTTAAATTAATTAGCTTTTAAGTATTGTTTGTCAAATTTTTCACTATTTATATTATTTACAGCATCCTTACAGTTGCTGCGGATCTTGATACGATGTTACGAGTCGTTTCGGAAATTCTACCGAATCTAGAGGACGTAAGTTAAATTAAATTTTGAAATTAACTTTTTTTTTCTTTTCTTTTTTTTTTTTTTTTTAATAATTTAATGTCATTCATTTTCAGAATAATCGAGGAAGGCGAAATCACGACAGTGGGGATGAAGTTGATATTAGAATGTTAGTGCACCAAAGCCAGGCGGGGTGTATTATAGGAAAAGGTGGATTGAAAATTAAAGAGCTTCGAGAGGTAAATTAAACATAAAAAGTTTTTTTTTTTTTTTTTCTCCAAAAAATTAAATTAGAAACATAAAAAAATGATTGATTGTTTTTTCCCGTAGAAAACTGGAGCAAGAATAAAAATATATTCAAACTGTTGCCCTCAAAGTACAGACAGAATCGTACAAATTAACGGTAAAGGGAATCTTTGCGTGGATGCCATTCGGGAATGTATGGAATTATTAAAAACGGTAAGTTAAATTAATAATTCTTTTTTATAATTTATAATTTATTAAGTTCTTGTTTTATATGTTTATAATTTTTTTTTTTTTTTTGTTTTAGTCTCCTATAAAGGGTATGAATAATCCTTATGATCCACACAATTTCGACGAATACTTTTCACAAGATTATGGAGGCTACGGAGGTGGAGGAGACGATAGGCGAGGTGGTGGCAGAGGACCTGGAAACAGAGGTCCACCCGGACGTGGAGGAGGTCCAGGTAATTATAATTAATATTTTAATTTTTTAAATGCCAAAAATACTTTTTTTCCGATGCTAACTTGTAATAATTTAGGAAATTTTGGAGGGCCTCGAGGAGGAGGTTTTGGTGGACCAAGAGGAGGAGGTGGCGGTCCTGGAAATTTCGGTGGTCGCGGACCAATGGGCGGACCTATGGGTGGTCCCATGGGAGGCCCTATGGGAAATGGAATGGGCATGAATGCTCCCGGGCCTATGGGAATGGGTATGGGAGGACCCGGTCCACAAAATCCTGGTAATTTCGGTGGTCCTCCTTTGGGGGGAGAGAAAAACTCGACCCAGGTTACCATTCCAAAAGATGTTCGTATTTAAATATGTATTATTATTATTATTATTATTATTGAATTTCACCTTATTTTCAATTTTTTTTTTTTTTTTTTTAATAATACGTATTTTTCGGTATGAATTTTTAGCTTGCTGGAGCTATAATTGGAAAAGGTGGTTCGAGAATTAGAAAAATTCGAATGGAATCTGGAGCCGCCATTACGATTGATGAGCCTTTACCAGGTTCAAACGATCGAATAATAACAATCTCAGGCACTCCGAATCAAATTCAAATGGCTCAGTACCTTTTACAACAAAGGTTAGTCTATTTAATACATTTAATTTAGTACTAATTTTTTTTAAATGCTTTAAAAATTTTAACAAAAGCATGCAAACTTAAAATTTTTAAAAATAAATTTCTGATATTCATTACGACATGAGTACGAGTAAGTTTTTATAAGAAAAAAAAAAACAACATAATTATATAATTATTGAAGAGTTCAATTAACTTAATAACGGGTTCAGCAACTAACAACAAGGCTGGGTATCTTGTGGAAGACTAGTGATTTTGTTGTTCTTTATTCGAGTAACAAGGAATCACTAATCATCCCAAGATGGTGGCTGCTTTCAACCTACATACTACATATAAGGTGTGTGTGTTCAACCCTAAATACTCATACTTCAAAGGATTTTTGGGATATTTAATTTACAATAACAATCACATTGTTCAGTTTAGTGGGTCTTTTTTATTTTTTGAAAGTGCAAGTTTTGGGTTTTTTTTTTTTTTTTTTTTTTTTTTTTTTTGTGTAAAGTTTTAGGAATTGTAATGATAATTTTTTCTTTCTCTTATTTATTTTTATTTTTTATTTTTTTTTTTAGTGTTCGCGAAAATACTAAAGACTACTAGGCTAGTTTTCTTCAAACATGCAAAATTGGACATCAACCTTGATTTTTATTCGTAAATAAGTATTTATCGTTCAACGTAAGTTTTATTTGACAACCATATTGTTTTTATATGAAGTTCTCATTCTATCTATAAAAAAAAAAACTTGAAAGCAAAATCAAATAATTAATTTAATGAAGGAATAGCTACTAATGATGTCTAATATTAAAAAAAAAAAAAAAAAAAAAATGTGGCACTTTATGTGAAAGTTGATTATTTCACAATTACATTTAATAAAAAAATTTTTTCATAAAGGAATAATAATAGCACAGCCTTTCCCTAAACTAGAAACTATCTATTTTTTTCTATTTTTTTTTCTTACAGCAAATTTGAATTTGAAACTTTTGTTTCTCGCGTGTAAAGTTTTTAATGCTATAAATATATATATAAATGACCGTTTTTTTTTTTTTTTTAAAAGATATTTTCTAAAAGTTGGAAAAGGCTGTCAAAAACAATTTTGAAATAATCTACTTTTCCTAATATTAATGTTTTATACTCACTTTATATTACTATTATTATTATTATTATTATTAATTTTTTTTTTTTTTTTAGAGGAATTTAGCCGTCGTAGTGTATTGTATTAGTTTTATTTTTATTTTTTTTTATTATTCTTGGATTATTTATGCCAAGTTATGAATTTTTAGTTTTTGTACTTTTTTTTTTTTTCTTTTTTTTTTTTTTTAAGTTTATCTTTTTTTTTTTTTTTTTTTAATGAAAAATAGCCGTGTAGTAGTTACCTCAATTTTCGCCAATAATTATTTTATAAACGGTATACGAAACCCCCTCCCGTGCGCCCCTGGCCCCTGGCCCCCCCGAAAATTTTATTTATTTGAAAAAGGACCGTGGATTTATATATTATATCGGGGAATATGACGACCGTAATGGCGAAAATTGTGGTATACCATTCATTCATTATTCATACATAAATATAAATAAATAAATAAAAAATAGGTATCTCAGTTGTTAAAATGGGTACTACTTTTCAGTGATATTGTGAAAAGGACGCGTCCGCTCTGTATTATCCGACAAAACAAACCCCAGTAAAATTTTCCCAAAACCAAACTTGATATAACCAATGTTAATCGATGTGAAAATGTGAATACATACAGTCTTTCCAAGTAGTGGAAAAAAAAAAAATACCCGAAAATAAATTTAAAAATAAAGTTGAAGAATTTTCCCGTGGAAAAGAAAGAAAGAAAAGAAAAGAAAACAAAACAAAACAAAAAAAAATGGCAATTATTTTTTAAATGATGTTATTATTAGCTCAATGAGACAAAAAAAAAGAAAAGCTTTTCCTTCTTTTCTGCATTTAATTTCGATTAAGGAAAAGACAAACGAAATTTATTATTATTATTATTATTATTTTTGTTCCCCCCCCCCATAAAAGTAGGCAGACTTTTTTTAACTTTTGTGAAAGAAAAAAAAATATCCCAGTAAAATTTTATACCCAAGTAATTTTATAATTTGGTGTTTTGTATACAAGATAGTGATAATGATAATGATTTATATTTATGTATACATAAATACATAATATTTAATAATTTTTAATTCAGTGACCCTTTTGATAAAGTAAAAGTAAAAAGAAAAGAAAAGAAAAGTTTTTAGAATTTTTTTTTTTTTTTTTAAAATGATTTCTGTAAAGAATTATTATTATTATTATTAGTATTTTGCATTTACGGAAAATGAAAAAAAAAAAAAAAAAAATGGTTGAAACAATAAGAACTTGTTTCGTGGTCCTATATAAGAAAAAAATTTTTTTTTTTATTATATTTTTAAACATTCTTTGTAAATTTTATTATTATTATTATTATTTTTTATTTTTTTTTATTTTTGGCATAAAACTAATTTATTAGAATTAGTATAATTTTTATTATTATTATTATTCAACGTAGCCTTTTTTTTTTTTTGTGTGAAGTCTATAAATAGATAGATTAAAATCATTATTATTATTAATTTTTATTAAAATTATTATTATTATTTTTGTATTTAATTTTTTTTTTTTTTTTTTTATTAGTTTTATTTTATTCCGAAGGATGATATCATGTTTTGCTTTTGTAAAAATAAATAATAAAAAAATAAAATAAATAAATAAAAAATAAAATAAATTTTTTTTTTTTTTTTTTTTTTTTTTTTACATAAAAATGGAAGAAACGTTGGAAAATTTTCTGATTTTCCGAGTATTATTATTATTATTTTAATAATAATATCGAAATCGTATCGAAATTTTTGTAGATTTCGCGAATCCATCAGGGCTATCTTTTTATTCCCTAATGAAAAATTTTTTTTTTAATACTTGAGTACTACTTACTTGAGTACTTGGATTTAACTTTAAAAAAAAAAAGGGAAAATTACACAATTTCTTATCAATAATTATTTCATAACATTATATTGAAATTTAGTAAGGCCATGAAATTTAGTAAATTTTTTTTTTTTGTTTACAACTCAAAATTATGGCGCAATTAAATTTTTTTTTTTTTTTTTTAAACAAAAATTGATTTAATAAAAAATTTATGCACAACATGGATAATTATACACCAATTAAAATTAATAATTTATTTTTTTTAAATATATAATGAGTAAAAAAAAAACTTGTCGGATTTAATATTGGGTAGCAATTAACAAACTCTCTCTCTCTCTATCTATTATCTATTGTTAATAATAATTATCATTATTTAAATAAAAAGCCTGTATTGTAATTATTACATATATAATAAATAAATAAATAAATAAAACATTTTGGTTTTTTTTTTTTTAATATAAGAAAAACGAATAAAATCATTTTTTTTTTTTTAAATTTTAATCCATTAAATTTAATTGATTATGTTTAACGATTAATCCTTATTTATCTTTTTATTTTTTTAATCAAAAAATAAATATATTATATTTTATATTATGTTATTAGCAATATATATAAATATATTTTAATTATATTGTATAATTAATTTTTTCACTTTTTCCTTTTTTAACATTTTTTTTTCTTTTTTTTTAAATGGAGGATAATTTAAATAAAAATAAAAATACTCGAGTTTTTTTTTTAAAAATATATTTGTCGAATTATTTTTTCATAATAGTTTTCGTAATTTTAGTCGTCAAGCTTTTAATAATAATGTACATTTATGTACATAAATAAGGACATACACATCTAAAAATATATTCATATATATATATATACATAAATTTTGTGTAAATATGTTCATATAAAAATTATTTATATAAATTTAGGGTTAAAAAAATTATTAAATTTAAAATATTATTATCAGCTTCCTGTTGTTTTTACTTTTTTACCCCAAAAAAGCCAAAATACATATATAAATGGACCTCCAAGGCCTAAGACTAGCGTAACACATAATAATGTATGCCATGACATTCCCCAATCAGCCCCACTACATGACAAATCATTTGTCTTGTGTTCAATTGTGGTATTTAATAATGAAACAGATTCTTGAGCTTCATCTATTTCAGAATTAGGAGAAAGTGTGTTTTTTTCTTCTAAATTATTTTCAATTGGATTTTTAGCCACCAATGAATTATTTACAGTTTCGACGATAATATCACATTTGTCTGAATTAGGTTCTGTGGTAGATTTTTCATTTGTATTTTTTTCTTCTGTAAAATAATCTTTTTCTAATAAAATTGACAAAGTATTTGAAGGCACTTTAATAACTTTTCTAGCATATATTTCATTATCCTTATGAATATTGTTTACTCTTTTCAACTCGGAAACCTAATGAAAATATTCAAATGTTAATGTTTTACATCTGGTATTTGTTAAATTTATTTTTAATAGCAAAAAACTTACTGGAACGTTAAATTCCAATGAAACAGACTGTAAAGTGTCATCTGATCTTATTTCTTTTTCTAAAAAAACTTGTTTTTTATGAGTTGAAAGAATAATATCATCTGTATAAGGTTTTTTTTGACCGTGGGTTCTGTTGTAGAGTGGCCTAAAATAAAACAATTACATTAAATTTATTTTTTATTATGTAAAGGTACCTTAAAAACAAAACATTTATTATTTAGAAAATTAAAAAATTTAATATTGAACTGTACTGTAATTGTATTTTTTTAAGTATGTGAACGACAATATCATTTAATCACTCACATTTGATTTATTTCGATGTTAAAATTGTTGTAATTTCTTTTCATAATGTGACATTTCATTTGTCACGTACTGAGGTATCTCATTGTTTTAAAGCTAATAGAAAAAATACTTATTTTAGGCGTTGAAAAAATAACAAACATAATGTAAAATATTTATTGTACTGTACTTTTCAATACTAATTACTGTTTAATCACACATATGTTGAACAACCTTAAACCACTGATTAAAAATCACATAATCAAACCATAGACGATTTAAACTTTCGATTTAAATTTTTATTGAGCCGATCGGAAACAAATTTAACATATGGCGTGTGTTACCTACCTGAAATGATTCAATCCTTTTGTCAGAGTTAAAGTAAAATTTTTAAAAAGTAAATATATTTCAAAATGAATTTAATTAAAAACTTTTCTGTTTCTTATTCAAGTAAATTTTTATTTGCTCTTTTTACGATTATTTAGATTTTTTTTTTAAAATTATTTTTCACAAGTAATCAATTTTATATAGGTGCGAA